AAATATATTCAATATAATTGCACACTTACCGACAGAAAAGATTCTAGCGATGCAAAATGTTCGCTGCCTTGAACTTGGAATTTTATTAGGCATATATCTCATTAAAAATCAAATATGAAATTTTACGAGATATTAAAAAGAATTATGAGGCATTAAGATGAATTTTTCCAACTTCAATACTAGAAATTCCTCCTATAAGACTATATTTTATAACTATACATCATCTTCACTCATTTGTCGTAATAACGTAAAATATGACATCGCTGTACTCAATATCTGTTGCAAGTAATAAATAATACTATATTGTTATAATTATTTATTAAGTGTAATTATTTAAAAATGTAATTTAAAATGTAAAATCAAGCAGGATAAATTAATCATGTAAAGATAATTGTTTTAGTCAAAAATAGAAAAATATAAAAAATTTTTTTTTACTATACATTACAATATTTCTTTTATCTTATAATTATCTTATATAGTTTTTCCTATACGAGTATCTAAGTAATCTGACTGTGCGAATAATAGTGGAATAATTTTTATATTTAAATATTTTAAATTTAAATTTTATTCTCTCTCTAGCACATTATTCCATGCAAAATTACCGGAAGAATAAGAATCTAACGTTTGATGGACTATTTTAAGAGCTAAAAAACTTTTTTAAAGTGCCATATGGATAAGATTATTAAGGTAAAAGTTAATTTAAAAGCTTTAAATAAGAAAAATACCGGAAGTGCGAGGTATATATTCGTTTCGACATATTTTACAATTGCGCAAAAATATAAAGTGCGAGCCATGAGTATATAGCATTGCACGAAGAAAGAATTGGCTCCGATAGCGGTGCTTTTTACAACTTACAGTAAATAAATTTCTTTAGGAAAATTTTAAAGAGCCGTATCATTTGTTGCGTCGCACTTACCCCCATAAAAGTGTCCAAGGACATAACTGCGAAATTCCCAGCGGTTAATATGCATGGCCGACGTACTCTAATCATAATTGTAATTAACCCTCTCTTCACTGCCCTTCCTAGATCATTATCGGGTAAAAGATACCACTTCGAATTGTAAGCGGCATCAGAGATAGCTGTGCTTTGCACAATTATATCATTACACGTCCATGTATAAATAAGCAGCTGGATAAGACCGCCCACGAAATGAAAAGCAAAAATACACTTTCTGATAATCACATCCGTCGCCTGCAAACAAAAATGTCAGAAAATTTTAGAAAAATAAATAATAAAAAAAAAATAAAAAAAAAATAAAAAAAAAATAAAAAAATAATTATAAACCTCATACTAAAAGAATTGATATTATCTCGTTTTGGGATAATATCAATCCTTTTAGTGTGAAGTTTATAATTATTTTTTTTTAATTTGATATTTTTTACGATCATAAACATTTTCAGAAATTTTTCTAAAATTTTTAATTGCACTAATATTTATGTTTAAATTATAAACGTTGAAAATAAAGTATAAGAGTTGAAGAATTCAATTTCATTTAAACGCAGAATTGAATTTATCAGACTTAATTGCTTTTCAATTTGAGAAAACGCTGCAATAGAAATATAATAAAGTTAACTGGCGAGTAAGCACAGCGGGACGTGAAATAAGGAGACAATAAAATTCGAAAGCTCACGAGGAATTGAAATCCACCGAAGCAGATGACTACACTGGAAAGCAGCAACTGTCCGAGCAATATAATGGCGAACACGCGTTGCATGTTACGCACGTAACATATGAGCGTGAGGTGCTGTTTCACACAGTCTCGCAATTTTTTGAACGTCAGAACTATAACATCCGTTTCCAACGGACATTTCTGGTCCATCGTATCTCCGATACAATGTTCGGCAATGACTTCCACTTTATGAGCCAAGATTTTCAGTTGCGCGGCCGCGTGAATATTGAACGTACTTACAAAATTATCAAAGCAAAAAGTACAGATACCCGAATGCATCGTCGAAAGTGACTACAAACGTAACCAAAATAATGCGAATTAAATTTTTATATGAAAAATTTAATTTGAAACAATAAAATGGTAGAGATCAACATATGCATTGCAATGTTGAGCTTCAACTTTAACAATTATTAATTTAAAATACTTTTATATAATTAAACGATTTATTTTAACAAAAAAATTTTTCTTTATTAGAAATGAATAAAAAACATTTAATTAATTATCAATTATATCAACAAAATTGTTAATTATTAACATGAATTGAGTAAAACTCATCATTTCATACACTGTTTTATTACCTGTATAGTATAAGTAATTTCGTAGTACGGTGAGTGATACGGAAAGTCGATCCATAGTTTGAAAGGTAAAACTTTCTCCGTTTCGTTCTTTTCTTGAGGCTCTATTACAAACAGCAAAGAAATATTTGACACGCTGTACAGCGTCGTTTCACGTGACAGTTTGAAAAGTAGCATTACAATTCGCCAGCACAGTGTAAGCGGAAAAGAAAATTATACCAAAGAAAGGTGCGAAGATGTAATTAAAAGTCCCGATGTAAACCATAAATGTAAAAGTGTAGATCATAGTCATCCCTAGTTTGTCGTATCCTTCTAGAATTTGCGCGCTAGCTTCGTCGTAAGAGGTGACACTCCAAAAATTCTTCTCAGCAAAATGAATCAAGTCCATTATCATATCACGATAGAACATAAAACTACCTAGCTTCACTAGTATCATTATCAAAAGCAACGTTGCACACAAGTTGGATGTGACAGCCTAGTGAGTAATAAAAGTACCAAGAATTAAATAAATCTTGTCCCTCGTATGAACATTCTGATGCTGCTGTGAGAATGCAAATTCATAAATAAACAGATAATAAAAATAATTTCGCTAATGTTGTTATAATAGGCATGTTATTAGGAAAATAATTAATTAATTTCATTAATGAAATTGTAAAAAAGAGAAAAATTGAAATTAAAAAAGCTGTAAGTATCAAAAATAAAAATTTTGTGGAAATAATAATATTAATGATGTTTTCTGTTTATTTGTTTAAGAAATATTGCGCACATAATAATTTTTATACTATAAATATTCTCATATATAACGTTAAATATTACTATAATATCATATTAGTTTTAGCATAAAAAACATTTTTTAATATAATTTTTTAGGATAAGATTATAAAAAATAAAACATGATATCTTACAAACTCTTTAACATGCAATTATAACAATTAAAAACTTTGTTACGTAAAATTTTCATTTGACCTAAGGTATACTTTTTACATACATACTTTCACATATACACGCACAGCATCAGGAACTCTCCAATTATACTTTCCAATTACAACAATTTCAATTCACCGGAAATAAAAGAAAAATATTTAAAAAATATATAAAAACAAAATACATACTCTGTACTATTAACTACTGTATTCAAACTGCATTGTCTATACTACTTTCTTCAAAACTGGAGATGTTAATTAGTTTATACGATCAATAACTCAATTTAACAACTGAAAATAATACATATAATAATAAAAATTTAAAGTAATATTTTAAACGTTAAAATAAATTCAAGAACGTGCTGTTTCTACGTTCATCGAGGTAGAACTGCAAAAGAGATCGCTGCGTCACTCACGTAAAAGTCACCTATGCAGTAATACAGATCAACGCCCTCGACGAGAATGGCAAAAACGATCGCCCAAACAGTATACCCGAATACGACACGCAAGAGCAATTTTTCTTTCGGTGTCTCGACATACCAGAGTCCGACTACTTTCATAAAGAGACGTGTAATATTCACCGATCGGTACTCCTTATTTCGTGTCATACCGAACCTCGTGATTTTCTTACGCCGCCACGATCTTAAGTGCATCCGAATAGCCGAGCCATTTCGATATAAGTGGAAGCCCATTATACTAACAAGCAGGAAAATTGACGCGCACTTACCTAGTGACAGGCT